GTAAATAAATAGGGAATTTTCTAGTCTACAAACTTTATTTCTTTGCTGATAAAATAGCCAATAACTATTTATGGAATACTATTTTTGAATCAAATATCAAATAGAATATATAAATATATAATATGAAAATATATTGATTTTTTTATCACATACAAAATAGTTACTGAGGTGCTTTAGATTTTCATGAATATTATACAAAATTATCACTAACAAACAAGTCTACTATGGATAAAATTAATGAGTTTTAATCTTATCTTTAACACCATATATATATATATATATCTTTAAATACATTAATATTGTGTGTGATTTACTTTAGAATATTTTATTTTGATATTAAATGAACAAGCATGTTGTCAATATTATTAATTAGTTTATTTAATTATATCACATAGTATTTTAAAATACATGTATGTATGTGTGTGTATATATAGATAGATAGATAGATAGATAGATATAAAATCTAATAAAGTATTCTTCTTTGTTTTCTTTGTTTTTTTAAAAAGAAATAATCTATTTTTATTTTATTTCATAAATTGACTTAACCACAACCATTTTGCAATTATGAAATTAATCAGACTTTGTATTATTATTAGAAAATCATCAGTTCATGAAATATTGTTTTCAATTTTTATAATTAAATTTGTATTGATTTTTTTTTCAGTAAACAATAACTATGCTTCTATAGATTTGAAACTTTTTTAATGACTACGTACTTGAATATTGGATCTTTGTTAATGTATAAACTAGCTTTTTGTATATATTCTTAGTTATGATGGTTGCTAATTTAGTATTGGTTTTAGTTAGTAAATCATCAATTTCTATAATTAAAAGCTATTCTTATGACTTGCTTTATTGTCAACATCTATTATAATTAGGTACTAACTATTTTTACCTATTTAATATTTTTGGCCAAAAATATATTTAAATTTAGTTAAATAGAAATTTACTTAAGAAATTAGATGCTAACATTGATTTTGGGTTTAGAGTTTAAGGTTTACTAAACTCTAAATCCTAAACTTTTTTATCAGATTTACTAAACCATAAACCTTAAACCCTAAATTCCAAACAATAATTTAGATGCTACTAAAGTAATCTTTATGCTTGTAATTTTATAAAATATATATGTTTATTCTATATTTTTTAAAAGAAAATTATTGAGGTCCAATTATCATTTCAAACTACTAGCTTTGTTATTTGCACAAAGTTTTTTTTTATAAAACTCAATGTGGTATTAAGGAGAGGATGTCCCTTCTGCCTATGTCCTTGTACATATTTCTTTTAAGAGCCTGGCTTTATTCTCTTATTATTTTCTTGAACCATTTTTAACTTCTATCTTCACTGTAAGAATTTTGTAAAGATTAATCAATGAAAAATCAATACCAGTGCTTCTTATTTTGGTTGTGATTTATTGTTCAACTAAATTTTAGAATTTGTTTTTTAATAATATCTTTTTTGGAAATCATTTGTATCCCACTTCATTAATATATATATATATATATATATATATATATATATAATAATAATAAAACTATAATTTCACACAATTATTTTTAACATTTTAAATATTAAATAGTATTTTTTTGCAAAAGTTTTATCTACACATTATTGATATTAGAAAATTACTATTAAATACAGTATAAAAACATGTCAATGTAAGAATTAAACATACTTTAAATAATATTTATTAAACAAGGATAGAGTTATTACTCAAATAGTTTATTTTTTCATTTTTATTTCAAATTTATTGTAAATTATTTTTTTAAATAAATATTTATGATATTAATACATGATATATGATATATTAATATTTAAAGATAAAATAATAAATAATTCTTTTTAATAATAGCTTTTTATAAAATAGATTATTAAAAAAAACATATCAACCTATTTATCAATAAGTAGGTAAATATAAATTATATTTTTAAAAATATATTTTAAAGTGTGTTTGTAGACTTTTAAGTTGAACAAGACTATAGCAGTCTTTATACTTAAGATGAAAGATATGAACCTGCAAGTTTTAATTTCATTGATTGGTCAAAATTAAGATGCATATACAAATTAGCTGTACATTTTAAAGAATCAATCAAAACAAGCTTAGAATAAAAAAAATAAGGCAATATGCAAATTTTTATTATTATGGCATATATAGCATTATTTCAAAGAATTTTTTTTGAAGCCATCTCGTGAGGTAGATTATAAAACAATTCAAGAAATTGTGTATAATTTTATTTACAATAAGGAAATTCTTTATTTATAATTTTTTATAATTATTTGAATTAAGGTATGAGTTGACATATTTTGGCAATAATGGTATGGTTTATTCTATCATCTCTTGTCACTTTGTACTAAATTCAAATGCCAAAACCTCTAAATGAGGGCTTTTTCTTATTGGGTAAAAGATTTTATCAAAAATTTTAAGACATGGTATTTCTAAGTGGACTTTTAGGTCTAAAGACCCTCAAAAATTAATTAGACTAAATACAAATGTGATGGTATTAATAGCATTTCAATTTATTAAATAAATTATCAAAATGCATTCTAATCTACAAAAATACAAAATAAATTTAATGCTTTGGTTTTTTTATCACACATATAATAGCAAAATTACAACACTGGGTTTTTTTTATTTTTTTCTACCAAGCTTTTATAGAACTACGCCTATACTATCTTTCATAAACCAGACAATGCATCCTCATTTTGAAAAGTTCTTTATTCTTTTAACAATACCAAACATTTGAAACAATTGAATTGAGCATGGTGTGTCAAATGATTAGAGGATGCAATTCAGTAAATCAAAGAAGGATTTTTTTTCTTCAAAAAGTTGTATTAGGAAGAGGCCATTGCTTAAGCTGTACATTTGTCAACCTTTGATCCTCAATGTTAAAACAATCATACAGTATTAAAAAGGATGTGAACAGAGCCTCAATCCCTTTAAAACTCTCCATCAGAATTCCCCTCAATTCATTCCCCCATTCTAATATCCTTAATTTTTCACCTTCCAAGTGGCTTCTCTTCCTTGGATGCGAAGAATCAAATCGGAATGAAGCTCCAATGTTCTGAAACTGGGTTTTTCCATTAGCAGGAGAAAAAGATTTTCACAAAAAAATACAAAAAAAAATAAACAAATAAACAAGGGATTGAATGAAGAGAATTCCTGGCAAAGTCCGGTGGATTCCGGTTCCAGAAGGAGGCCCATTCGCATGGCTCCATGTCTCCGTCGTGGAAAGCCCACGCCGTAGTTGTGCAGAACGAAAGCAAGAGGGGGTGAAGTTCCAGAATCATTCTCCAGTTGCAATCTTTTTCTTTTTTTTTCTTCCTTGGTACCGATCGCAGTGGTAGTAGCAGCAGCAGCAGCATTACCCAACTGCTTCCTTTCTTATGGGAGGATAATGAATCTCCCTCTTGCCTCATGGCCCGCTTCTGATTAAGCTCAGAACATTCCTGCTGAATTTCAGCTGGCAGTCAACAAATGCTCGATAGGTGTTTTCACGGCGCAGCATGGGTTCCACCTCGTTGCGAGAAATGCACATGTTGCTTTGGCATCTGGTCTCCATTGCAGGTTGCAGAAGAGTAACACCGAGGTCATGGTCTCACGAGTGGTTCACAGTCGTCACCACCACAACCCCCATCTCTCTCTTTCTCTTCCTTTTCAAATGGCGTTCCAACGCTCCTGCATGCTTTGAAAAACATGGGCCCTAGTTTCTTTTTACGATCCTTGGGTCCTAGCCTTCAGCTCTGACCAGAATTGATCAGTTTTTCAGCAACTTTTTTCTTCCTCAATTCCACCGTAGTTCTAGGTCGGATTACGAACTATGTACACATCGGAATCTACGTCGACGTTTCAGATGCACTTCTTGTCTACCTTCAAAAGGGTGTACTTTTAGAAGTTGTACCTACGTGATGTTGGCTTGCAATACCCATAGTAAACAATCTTTTTTATATTCTGTATAGAAATGATTTACTTTGACTATTATTGTATAGTTGCAGTAGATCTTATTCTTCCGACGTGGCATCTATATCAGAGCATTCAAAATGACAGCAGAATACTTACTATTCAAGTCGATTACAATTTGAGATTAACAGACAACTTTCACATCCGAGGAATTTCGAATAAAATCAAACTGCTCAGGCTGCATGTATACAGGTTCCTTACTGCTTCCACCCAATTCTTTTTTCTATTTCCAAGGAAGTTTTTAAACACTAGAAAAAGAAAGCACAGAGCCCCCCACTTGTTTCACTACCCATGTTACGCTTCCAGGCTCCGATCATTACAGTGATTAGTGTAGCAGAATACTGATATTAGTTACGACTAACAGTGGTTGCAGGGAATTTCCCGGAGACAAGCCTGCAGCGAGTGCAGCAGCCGGGGGACTTGGATCAGTAAATAAAGAGTGAGGTAGGAACAGCGTGCAAGAATCCGAGAGGACATCCGAGTTCGGATATCACCTTCGGCACGTGCAAGTGATGCAGTCTGTGTGGTCAAGGAAACCGAAGCCCCACAAACGGGCTCAAGAGTGTGCCTCAGGACCGAGTCATGAGATAGGAAAGCTGGGCGTGACATACTAGTCGGAATGGCTTGCAGCCGGCCATTAAAGATCAGGCGGAATGGGACCTGTGAAATGCGGCTCAACCTGCTTTAGTGCAAATGGTATCTAATGGAAAGGGATGGATGGCAATTTCTCGGTTTTCCGGCGCTGAGTTCACTCAGAATTGTTGAAACCGCACGCTTGAGCATGCATCCCTTGCTCGTGGGCAAAGTTGTGTCCGTAAGGTTATATTTGGGGTGCGCGAATTTTAGCCATGATCTCGTTCAGCCGCGCTGGCAAAGGCAAGTGTGACCACAAATAATGTTTTTACGCGGCTGGTTCTGGCGTGGGACCTGGGTCTGGCCAATGAGGGTGCTGGTCGTCCCTTGATCGAGTTCCTGCATCCTTCCTCTTGTCCTTTGTCCTCTGAATGAGACACCATCGTCCGCCAGACAATCGTTTGTACATTCACCATTTGGCAGAGGATTTTTTTAGATAAACTTGGATTCATGCTGGGTCGACAGCACTGAGGGATTCGAACGTCAACCCTCCAGAGAGTCTTTTGGTCAATGGAACTGGTGTTGTTAGAGAAGGTGGTTATGCTCGGGCCTGCAGCGAGGGTGATTTTTCATTAGGGTGACTTGCAGTGGTTTCCCATTGCTCTCACCCTTGCAGTGTACAGCTCAAACCCTTCTGTAGGTTATTCATGGAAGGAGACTTTGAAGTACAAAACCTTGAAGTGTGCTTGAAATTTATAATGATCAAAGATAGGTCTGAGCATACGATGTCGAGCTCTAGAACTAAACATTTCGCTTACTATATAGTTAATCAGATTCTAATTACCCAATTTGCACAATACGATACCTTTGGTGGTCCTAATGTAACTGCTATTTGTCTCGTTTCACTGAACCGCTTAGATTGAACTTCTTCGATTAGGACTTATTACCATTTGAGGGACATTCTCTCTTTCCAAATCCGCGTTTAACGATCAAGTACAGATTTGTAAAAGAATAAGTTAGGGCTAACCATAGCTCAGTCGCTTTGCTTTTGCATGCCGCACCAGAGTTAATCTCCCGGCCATTTGGATGTAGAGTGGTGTGGCAGAGCCAGTTGCATGTGTAAATTTATCGCTGGTTTTGTGTAGAGCATATTTGTTTTCTAAGCGGTACTTGTGTCACTGATTTAGTGCTAAACTACCAACCTCTTAGAAGCTCCTTCACAATATCGAAGATTTCAGGGAGTTAGAGGATTACCCATCTGATTTATTTAAGTCAATCAACTTATTCTGTCCAGTCCTTCTGGCATGTCAGACTGGCCCTTTGTGCGCCATGTCAAAGTCTCTGCAAGGCTTTTGTAAGTTTCTGGAAGAGGAAGTCTTATTTGTAGGTGAGCAATTTGTACATGGGCATCTTCATGATTCCACTGTTCAATACAGACGTGTACTCAGTCAAGTGCCGCGGTCACACTTACGGCCTCAACTACGGACTATTTGTTCAACTTGAAGTATTACAGGTCTGTCATTAACAGATAAAACAGACACTACAAGGTACTGAACACTCCCGATGACTACGATTTTTTCTCTGCGAGCACACACCACCCCCCCACAAATAATAGTATAAGAAGCTCGGTACCCAGAAACTTACCATATTTGCGGAAGTTTGGAGTAAATTCTGACCTCTGACTGGTGCGATGATTGCTTTGTGAAGGTGAAGCTGAGGCGAACCTGCCTTGGCTGGCTCCTGGTACGTTAGAAATGGGTGCTACACTATGTTAGCAGATGTCTACAATCTCAACAACCAACACCAAAGCATTCACAATATCTGGTTGTCAGATCGTGTGTGGAACCGATCGAGATGAGGGTGCTGGAAGATGGGCGAAACCACCCACTTGCTTAAGTTAGCCCTTCCTGCTTTCCGTCAGGCCCAGGCCCTTGTCTTGCAATCAAAAGTCCGGTGTCGACTCCACCAAAGTAGGTTGACAACTCTGCGACATGCTTGAAACAAAATACATGATTGTTCGTCGAAGCTGAGGCAGTACTTCAGAGTGTGCTGCAGAGCTTGACATTGTTCGTATTTGGAGGAAACTTAGTGGCTGACAGGAGATTCTTAGTCAGACTACTTAAGAAAACAATCGTCTCTTTCCTTCAAGAATACATTTCAGGGATTGAGTGAAGACTTAACTAAGCATCTCGGTCATTAATTTCATGTAAAGTGCAATCATCAACGCCCTCTTCATGTTCCCAAATGTACAGCTCCCATGTCAATGAGGGCCAGAGATGTAGTCATTTAATTGAGGGCAGGAAAGCGGTGTAGCGTTGTGTTCCTTCCATTCCTATCTTCTTGGGGATTCTGGTGGATGCACAGCAAGGCTGTGTGCTCGCCGATGTCGGCAATGAAGTGCCGTGTCGGGTAAGGAAACATCAGCAGCTACTATTCGGTTCTAGACCTACTCACTGTACTTGAGTATAGAAGCCTAGCTCGATGGAGGGTAAGCGTCGGTGATTTATTATTCTTATGGGTTGTTTTCAAGGCGTGAGATCTTTAGCCGGTGCCTGTGAAAGGTTCCGACTCGCAGAAAGTAGTGCTGGAAAAAATCTGAGGTCAGAATTGGGGCTGAGAGTTTATGCGGCAAATGGGTCACAAGAATCGATGCAAACCCAATACTTCGGTGCGATCAAGTAGCGGTGTGATTATTCTATATGTTTTGCTTCTTACTCGTGTGGCGAAATTTGATTCATAGGATATACAGAGGCGAGGGATTTCGACAATGAGCTAGCGCAGACCGTGCGGGGCGGAGCACGGGAGGGGGATGAATCGAGCGCGCAGGATTCTGGTGGCTATTTACGAGGCTGATCATGGATGTAGGGTGAGCAGTAGGATGCTTTTATTCAGAATTTTGGTGGAGAATTTTAAACGCAGGGTCCACGCCTTCGAAGAAAGTTGAAAGAAGGGCTTTGCGGGGACTCACAGAATCAGATGCTAGGGAATTCACCGTAGAGAACTGTTGCCGGTTCAGGATTGTCTCAAACAGTCTCATTCTTACCTGTAATGTAACCCGTAGGGTTTCAGCAGGATTTCTCCACAGATGTCATGAGCTTTGAGAGCTGTGGGGTTTCTCCTAGCATTTGTGAATGACTGCGAAGAGCGATCATGGAGCTTCTTGAAGGCTGTGTGATCCATTGATGCTTCTGAAAATGCATAATGTGAAGTGAACATTTATGAGTTGCAGTTGGGCGGCTCAACGGACTAACTGAATGACGATCGGTTCTGAGGACAAGAGTGCATCTCTTCTCACTAATTAGATTGTACTCGCTGGGTGCTGTGCTAGTTCGCTTCGCACGTTTCAGGGCACCTACAAGAGTACACGGAGTCAACGCACTTGCGGGAGGATCTCAGTCTAAACCCTTAGCATACACTGTCTGTACCCCAATGTACTCGGGCAATCGTAATAGTACTCTCTCTCCTTGTCACTCTGCCCTCCAGTCAAACCCACACACTTCAGGCAATCAAGTCCAGCCTTCTCGTAGTCCTTTCCTGGTCTCTCAGTTGTGGCGTCGAGCCACTCTGGTAGTCTCGGCACTTGCCGGTTGCAGGAGTAGCGTCCAAGTTCAGTTTCACACTAGAGTTTTACCATATGGCCACCATGGAGGTTCCCAACTTAGGCTATTCGGCGTTCGGCGTCATCGCGGATCCATACTGAGAGCTACGCTTTGTGGCCATGGCTGACAAGGCCCCAAATGAGGAGGGCAGCCAGTGCGATAGCACTCTGGACCAGCTTCTGCAGAGGCAGGACCAAACTAATCAGGAGGCGACGGTTTCTCTTTCCAATTCAGGAGCTTCCATGGCCGAGCCCTCATCAGAGTACTTGACGCTGACGACGTCTAATCCCTGGACGGCATTCAATGTTTCTTCTCCTTTGAACTCAGATCTCCAAACCGCAATAAACGGTCTCTACCGCACTTCACAGCCTCCACCTTTGTACCTTCTAACCAACCCGCTTGCTGAATTTCCATGGCTTTTAGAGGACCAAACAATCGAGTCCCATCAGAGAGGAGATTCTAGATGGGCGTGCAATCTAGATTCACATGACCCTGATCAGAGATGCAGCACACACAACTCGTTGTCTACATCTCATGGTGACCAGCTTCGAGGAGACATCTTGGAGAGAACTGGAGTTGGAAATTCCGGCCCACCGTTGTTGTCACAATCTATGTGGAGAGATTCAATCAAGGAAGAGCCTGCTTCGAGCCTCACAAGTGCCGGCTCTCCTGCCCGGTCAAGCAAAGTCGCAAGGAAAGAATTTCAGGGACATGGGACTCCCCGTGGGAACTACGGTAGCAGCTCGAAATCAGATGCAGAACCAGTGCCGCGGTTTGATAGGACAACCAGCTCCGAAGAACTCTCAATTCCCAGTCATAGTCCGGTACAATTTGGTGGTAGCTCCCAAAGTCCCTTTCCCAGATCACAGAATTATTGGCCCACATCTGTGTCTCCTCGGCTGTCTGAAGCAATTCAAGGGGCTGGCGGCTCCGTAACGACTTCTGCAGGGACTTCCAACACCTCGTTGTCGTCTGAGTCGACGAGTAATGCAGGTGATGAAGATGAGGTGGAGAAGGAGGTCTCAACAACAGGTAGCGAGGGCACCAGTACTGGAAAAAGGAAAATGTCTGAAGCATCAGCTAGCGGAGAAGCTGGAGGGACGGATCCCAAAAAGTCGGAGCCCAAGTAAGCATTTTAATCTGCCTATTTCACTCATTTTGTTCTCACAATTTTCTAGAACTTTGAAACTGCAATTCAGGCAGGCAACGTTGATATCATGAAGGAATCTCTCAACGGTTCCCTTGAAAGCCGTTGACAACGATTGAACACACGATTCTATGATGGCGTCCGTCTGAACTCCAGGCTTGTTTGATGCCAATACTAAAATACTAGTGTCCGAACGATTCTTAACTTTGGAGAAGAGAAAAATAAAAAGATAAGTTCTGGACGTAAATTTCGTTCAGCAAGAACTGGAATGATTTCCACAAAAAGTTTCAAGTAGAATTATGAAAGGGACTATTCACTATCTTTAATTTTAGTATATGCTGGACCATATTGTCATTCGTGTCAGGAATATCCTGGAGTATTTTTCCCCTCGCTTAGCACTTTCCACAAGTAGATCTGTGCATCTCGAGACTTTTTCACCAGTGCATATTCTAAACACTTTGTTGAAAGCATACCATCATGTTAAGCATGTCGACGAATTCTACCTTCACTGTGGACTTTTATTCTTTCACAAATAATGCGAGGGGTAGACCTGGTTGCGTGAGCTCCACTAGAAGTCCACATTGAATCATATGACAATGACATGAGTGTTCTAACAGTCTCGCCAGCTAGGACCCTCGCAATTCAGAACCGCTCTGTGTAGACGGAACCTTAATCCGTGCATCACAATGAAGTATTGAGCACATCGTCCTCGTCCACAGATGTTCTGATCTGCAAGATGAACCCTCCTTTTGACCAAATTCGGTTTGATGAAGAAATATCATGGAATGAGGGGTTCATTGACAATATTCATGCATGTTCGGACGTCATTCTATTTGAACCGACTTTTTCTGCTTGATTTCACTCCGAGAAGCTTAAAAAGGAACAATTCAAGTTCGATTTACTTGGCCTAGGTCTGCCTGGATGTTAAGACATATTAGTCTGCGATTAGAGACTGTGTGTAGGGTAGACAATTTTGATACCCGGGAGATTTAAGAAACATTATAGCTTTAGATTCTGGACGCGTTGGCAACTGATTGGTTTAAATTTTGGGCAGACCATCCGCCGCATCATTCAAGTCAAGTTACCTACTCAGTATCCTCACTGAAGTCTAATAGAGTTCGTTCCATTGAAATATTAGAGGTCTGTGTCATTTGACATTTTTATAGTTTTCCTGGCACTTTTACTTGGACAAGGGTTTTTGCAGTGTTCTCATGGAAAATTATGTAATTGTGACTGCAAAAGGGGTTACAAGGGCCTGGGGTTACTGCAGTAGACTTGAAATCACATTAGGTCAACAGTAATATAGGCTCTTTTCTGACTACAATGTAGAGATTATGAACAATAATACTTTCAATGATTTGGCAGAAACAAGCCGAGGAAACGAGGAGGTGCTAAGAGATTAAGAGAACCCAGATATGCTATCAAAACCAGAACTGATATGGATGTCCTCGATGATGGTTTCAAGTGGCGCAAGTATGGGCAGAAAGCCGTGAAGAACAGCCCTCATCCTAGGTAAGCTTTAATACCTTTTTTATGACTTGAAGTTCAACTTTTAACTTGTAGTATTCTGCAGTAATCAACTGCTAGCCTATCGTAGTACGACAATATAAGCTGAGATAAAGTTTTCAGCAAATTCATGAAGTTGATCCATGTCTGGATGTCCCAATTGTTTTTGCTTAGATTACAGTGGCTAGTCAGTGCAATTACTAAAACCACAGGATTGACTGACAGAACTTATTATGATCGCAGATCATGACTAACCCTGCTGTTGCCAACCCCCATTATATCATAGAAATGTTATTTTGTCTCAATTATATTATTGGCGATGTAGCAGCTAGAACATAGTTGTCCGAGATACTGAAGTAAGCTCACGTAGGGAGTTGTGCAGACCACGACCAAAGCGCTAGTGTTTGTTCTTTAATCATTTAATGGTTAGAAATTTATTTCAGAGAAACCCAGCCAACAACTTCCAAGGGACAGTTGACCTACTTTATTTTGTGTTTATTGCATGCTGCAGAAATTACTACAGGTGCACGACACCCCTTTGCCCGGTGAGAAAACGAGTCGAGAGATCAAAAGAGGACGCAGGCCTGGTGATCACAACCTACGAAGGCACCCACAGTCACCAAACACCGAGTTTCCATCGACCTGGAGGGGGCTACTTCGGCGACAGACCGCAGGTGGGTGGTGGGCTCTTTCTGAACCCTGGACAGAGTCCTCTAGGTTCTGGTTCCAGCCTGTTGCCTCTTCCTCCAGGCTTCGACCTACCGTCTCTCCAGCAAGCAGCGGAACTTCGAAATCCACGAGGCTTGCAGCTCAATCAGAACTTTCAAGGCTCAAACCCGCGGCAGCAATTGAACCCTATGGTTAGGGGGCCTTTTGGTTTCCCAGGGCAAGACAGCATATTTAGAGCGTCGCAGTTGCTTGGATTACAAGACCCGGCATTCGATCCCATTAAACAAGAACAATTCCATTTCAATGCGCAACCCTCGGATTTCATATCTAGGAATATACCGAACTTGTCACAGCTCCCCATCCAGCAGCAATTCGAGCAGCCTGGTTCATCCTTAGCAGGTTCCGGACCAGGGCCGGCACAATCGCCGGACCGGCCAATTTCTGAAAATGACAGCATGCAGAGATCAGGCTCCGGGATTATCCCGCAAATTAGCTCTCCACTATTACGGGGTTTAAATTTCCCCAACTTACCATCAAGCCATATGGGTCCAGCTTCTAGCTCAAGTACACTGTATGAGCCTGATTCGTCTAGCCTCACTATGAGTAGGGGGCAACTTAGACATGAACCATTAGTAGGAGGTAGCAGTAGCCGAATTGATCAAAGCCTTGAAACGCTTATTAGACGCCCCCAGTTGTCATTAGAATCCGAACCATCTGATCGGTCGATCGGAGGAAGCCACGGTCTCGGCTCCGGGATGGACCAACGGACACGAACGGGTCTGCAGAGGACTGTCCTGCCGACGATGCAGGCTCAGGTTCAGCAGACGAGACCAGGAATTGAGAGAAACTCGCCTAGTGAACAAGCCTCCGAGGCTGTAGTAGTCGTGCCACCGGATGTGGCCTTCGGGGAGGGTCTGCTGCAGGACATGGTTCGACACGGAACACCCAAGGCGAGCAGGAGCTGAGCCCATGAGGTCTATCTATCGCACACATCGTGGGCAGACAGAGAGGGAGAAAACGTTCCCCTCTCTGCCCCCCTTCACCACACGAAACAATTTTGCTGGATGTTTTTTTTCCCCTTATTTATTCTTGTTTGCATTTAGTTTCATTTCACCATTTCCGTGCCGGCCTGATGCACATTGCATTATTGGTGAGCCCGCTCGCTCTCGCAGCCTGGCGCCACAGCGACAAGGCTACGACACTGCTTGGGATGCCGTTTCTAGAGATGCCGTCCGTCCGTCCGTCTAGTTAGGTAGTAGGTAGGTACCTGAAGGGGTGCTAGTGCTGGTGCTGGTGTTGCCATATGTATGGGGTGTGTGTGTCGCTGTTGGAGTCACTTGGTGATGTCCTCAGCTCAAGCGCGTGAATGCTCACAGGCCAAGTCGCACTATCACCCTGCCCTGCCCTGCCCTGACTGCCTGCTGCTCCAGTACTCTTGATTGATTACAGTAAGTATCATCAACCCCACGTAGGAAGAGGAAGGGGAGGAGGCTGACGAGGAGCAGGATGATTGTACCCATTACGTAGCCCCGCAGGACAGTTTTTGACAACCAGTTTTGGGACCATTTGCATGTGACAGAAGCGACCAGGTCCTCTCCTTCGGGTTCTCTCACAGGAAAACAGGAAAAAAACATACTGCTTCTTCATCTACCCCGTCTCTCTCTCTCTCTCTCTCTCTCTCTCCCAGTTGTAATATCCTTCTTAAGATTGTGCCGTGTTCATAAATGCACCTTCAGGACGCTTTTCACCACACACACAAAACTTTCTCTTTTCTTTTGTCTTGAACAGTTTGTTCACTCTCACTGCACAGTCCGCATTTTCATGTCACCTTCTTCAAAACTTCGACTATTATAGCACTTGGGATAGTAACAGATTGTGAGCTTTTTGAAACTGTTGTGGAATGGGATGATCATAGCTGTGGAAGTTTTTCTTTTGACACAAGGAAAGCGAAACTTTACTGCAGAGGAAAATTATACAAACACGTGAGTTGGCCAGGGCCGGCCTCCACGTAGTACCCTTACTACTAAACTAAGATTGACCCACCTACACAGGACTTACTAATCTCCGTTGGGGAGCTCTTGAGGCCCATGTTGCTACCGTCTCATCGACTCACCACTGAAAACGGAATGTTTCAATTAGTTACCCTTACTACTAAACTAAGATTGACCCACCTACACAGGACTTACTAATCTCCGTTGGGGAGCTCTTGAGGCCCATGTTGCTACCGTCTCATCGACTCACCACTGAAAACGGAATGTTTCAATTAGTGTTGGCGCTTGATTTGGTGTCTCCTTGACCCTTGCTTGTGTCGAAGCCCAAGCAATCCTTCCATAGTCCACTAGGCAGAGCCACATTGTTCTTAAGGCCACAGTCGATCGTTGACGGCGACATCATTTCTCTCAATCCAAAGGTTCCAGACGATGATCCCCGCAGTAGTAACCACTGCGAGCTCACTTTTCTGTATCTACGCGGTATTCCATGGGCAAAAATCCCTTGTTTCGACGTGATCTGAAGAGTTTGGGGGGTTTGGTTTCCGCGGTCGTTATTCTGATTTGAACGCGGTGTTGGGTTTGTGTGGCTGCCTCTCCTGTCACCACTGCTCTCTGGCCTAATTTGTGCACCAGGTACACTTCGCCATCCCCTTCTTGCTCTTCATGTAAGTGGCCCTGGCTCGCTCTGCACTACGAGCTTCTCCAATGTACTACTACCCCACTTCCACACTCTGTTGGCCGCCGAACATTCCCAAAACGTGTGGATCATTGTTTCGGCTATCCCTTCGGCGCAGACAGGACAACTTTGGGCAACATTCACGTTCATTCTTCCTCTCAATATATTGACAGCAACCGCACAATGCCAAACGAGCCACAGGAGGCCGGCTTCCTTTCTTGTGCGTTTGTCCCAAACATTGAACCCATCTCAATTTGTATGTGTGGCAAGACCCCCCCCCCCCCCACTTTGACTCCACGACAGCTGGGATCACATATCGTTGCCGCAGGAGTAACCTCCCCAACTGTGCCGAATAATCCAGAATTGAACCGTGGTCCTTCCACCTGAATCTCCCCGGATCCCATTGGAAGCGATCTGTTCGACCATAGAATAGTTGTAGGGTGTGTCTCTGCTGGCCTCGTTTCACTTGCACTACCCGCACCCTATGAGTGTGACCATAGACCGTGGTGCCAGCGTTACTGCCTACAGGCCAGCCCATTCTATCTCGTGTTGAGCCATGATCTGTTGATCCATAGGTAGATGGATACATTTAACTTGTCCCATCATTCTTTCTATATAAACCGTGGTATTTAGGACTTCTCCAACAATCATAGGAGGTAAGTAGATACTCTTTTCTAATTCCTCTTTGGATAACAAATGGAGAACGTGGAGATCTATTGGCCCTAATACATGCTTCAAGATCACAAAACATGAGTTTTACCATTCAAATAAACTCTTGAGGCAAGCCAAAGGTTTCCATAGCTCTAAACATGAATTTCCAATCTATCATATTATAAACTTTAGAAAAGTCAATTTTAAGAAATAGAAGTGGATGCCTAGATTGTTGTACCTATATAATTATTTTCTGGGATAATAATAAATTGACCAAAATATACTCCTAGGTAAGAGGGTTGTCTAATTTAGGCTAATAATTTTGGATAGGATTGGTTATATCCATAATTAAAGAGCCTTTGCAAAAATCTTGTAACTAATATTAAGTAAGGTTATTTGCAATCAATTTGTGAGATAAAATTGAGAGCCACCCTTATACAATAAAGCAATTAGTCCTTTAGTTATTCTTGGAGGCAAGTGATCTAATAACATGTTAGTTTGTAACATCTCAATTTTTTTTACCTTGATCATAATTCAAAAGACTATGTAGAATTCAATAATTATTCCATTCAATTTGGATGTTTTTTTGGAATGCATTGTATTCAAGGCACTAACAAGCTATTGGTCATTGTAGTGCTGATATCATCTCTTTCATAGTATGAGTGAGCAAACCCTGCAATACTTACACACAAGCAAGGTTCTTTGTAGCAAACTATTCTCTTGCCTTGTACACTTTGGAAAAGTATTTTTTATAGATGTATGATATTATTGATGGATTATAATGGATTTGTCCATTTTCATCATCCATGGCTATAAGTTTGTCGGTTCCCTTGCAATCTTTGTAGGCTTTAAAAAAATCTTCGGATCCTATATCATCCACATTCTTCTATTTTATTTGACTTTTGAGCCATGGACTATGGAACTTCGTTTTTCTAATACTTGTAGCTCATCCACACAATTGATTAGTTATGCTTGTAAAAAGACATTCCCTAATATCCATTGGATTGTTGAGACGGTTGTAACTAATCTTGTATGCAAGTACTCCTCTTCTTCATAAGAAATGGCATCTTTACAAATACAATATTGTTTGTAAAATCTGATACAATGATGCATTTTATTAAAGAAATTCAGATTTATACGTGCCATATACAATTGCCAAATCTCATCTTGACCTTTATAATATGTAAGTAGGCTATGCTCATCACATACATGACATACATCAATGATATTATCTCCATGGCTTTTATATTTGCTAGATGTTGTCTACTTTTTTGTGTTAGTCATGAGTAAATTCAATTAAGTATAGCCATTGGTCTCCTTTTTATCCATCTTTAGCTATGCCAACTAAAATTGATGGTGCTTGCAATTGAAAACAAGTCTTCTACTTCTAACCTAGTTATTAGAGATAAGAAGATGCATTGCTTTGTGTTTAAAATCATCACTTTATTGGCATTGGACTTGTTGTTCCATCTTTCAACAAAGTTCTAATCTCCTACTATGAACCACCTTAATTCTCACGATAATTCATTGATAAGCTCAAGCCAAAGCATGTATCTCTTCGCAATGATATTTGAGGCGTAAATGTTAAGTAATGCCATATCCTCCTCTATTGTTCCTATCAAAAGTAATCATTGGATTCTACCGAAACAACAATGATGATTCTAATTAACTAGCAATTGGAGGCAAGATGCAATTGAAGTGCACATCTCTTTGCTCCTTGCACCATTGGAATCATGACTATTATTATAGGTTGTTGTGGCTTCAATTCTATAAAATCTTCCATTGGCCTATAGCTTTGTATACAAAGTTGTGAGCTTTTGTCCTTTCAATTTATACTCTTAAAAGTACAAGAAATCTAGCCCAAGCATAAATTTATTGTATTAATTTTGCATCATATCTAATTTTAAGGATTGTTAAGATTCTATATATTTTACAACATAATCATGACTTTCATTTGAAATTTGGTGTAAGTAGGGAGTTGAATTGTTTAAAAGATAAGATGCATATAATAAATTATAGTATGCCTCAATGTCAATAAAGGCATTTTATACATTGATATTTGGATGCACTAGTTATTTAGTTCATTCTGGCCAATAAACAAGAAGATAACCATGGTGGTAGTAGGGACATTCACGTCTCATTCTAAATTCCCTACCTCTGCAACTATTCATAAAATACATGAAAGAGATGTATCATGATTTTTATAACAACATGACATTGTCATGTGATAAAATAATTATATAGTAAAAAATAAAAATATGGATGTTATTATAGAAGAGCCTAGGAAAAAGATGTAGTAAAAAAATAAGTATAAAAGATAGAAAGATAGTAAAAGATTTAGTCTTAATGCTGTTTTTTTTTCTAGAAGAAACTTCTATTTATTTTGTAGAGGCGTAAATGAGTCAAATCAAAGTAAATGAAGTAAAAGAATAATATAGGCATGTGTAGGAGGGAATTAAGAGTAGTTTTTAGCAAGCTTTACCTCAAGAAGCTAAGAATTAATACCCGCAAAAGACTAGTTGTCAACCTAGATTGAAATCAAACCTTGAGGTATAAAACTGCATACCTAAAGTGACTTTAGAGTTCTTTGGTAGATTAAAGAGTGCAATTTGAGAACAAACTTGAAGAGAGATTTTTAAGCATTGGTTTTATGTCAATTAAATCAATATTGAGTTTTTAAAGGATTTTTAAATTTAGTAATGTTCTTGATTGGTTTAGATTTTGAGCAAAAAAAATATGTTTACAAATTTGAAGATTTCTTGAGTTTTGTAATATATATAGAGGTGAATTTTAGAAAATGTGTTGGTAAACTAGTTAAAAACGTGTGCAAAATTTTTGAGATCAATTAAATAGTTAGATCAAAGTAAGTGAAGGTTTTTGTGGATTGAGGACTTAGAAATTGGAATTTGAGGGTCAATGAGTGTTTCTAAGATCTTTATCAATTTTTCAATTGGATTGAAGTGAATTTTTTTTCTGTGGATATTAAACTTGATTTCCAATGTTTATGTGAAATTTGAGAGTAATTCAATGATTCAAGGAGGTATAGATGTTAGAAGTTCAGCATTTAGGTTGGAGTAGGAGGCCACCTAATACCCTTTTGAATTATCTTGTGTTTCTCTCAATTGATAAGTGCAATTGATTTCATCCTTCTTATGCTTAGTATATTAAGAAGTATGAAAATTTTGAATTGATATCAATGGTTTGATTATTAGTTGTTAAGATTCCAATTTTCTATAAGATTAAATTTAAGATTTGTCTATGATTTGGTTAAGACTTAAGATTTGGTCTAGGGTTTGATTAAGATTAAGATTTGTTTAGAATTTGGTTTAG